GAATAGGTACTTGTGCAAATTTGAGTTAAGCTCAGGAATTAGACAGCAGCCTGAGAAAGAGAAAAACCCTGTCTCACTAAAAATGGAAAAAACAGCCAAGGGTTGTGGCAGGCACCTGTGGTGTCAACCACTCAGGAGGCCGAGGCAGGAGGACCACCTGAGCCCAAGAATTTGAGGTTGCTGTGAGCTTTAGTGACACCATGGCACTCTACACAGGATGACAAGAGTGGGACTCTGTCTCCAAAAAACAAAAAAGAAAAACAAACCTAAATTCGTCTTAAGGACAAAACTAAAAAACTTTCTTTGCTTGTAACCTGAGGACTGCCTGTAAGATTTAAGGAATGTTAGAACAATTAACGTGTGCAGAACTTTTAAAGATTGGCCTCAAGGGTTAGCGCCTTGTTTTTTTCTGGTCTCTGCCCTCTCGGCACCAGATAGGGAATCCTGCCCTCCTCGCCTGATGGTGCGGTTGCCGTAGCAGCCGACGTCTCCAATGCCAAGGTCGTCCGCCATCAGTAGAAGCATGTTTGGCCGGGAGCCAGCTAAGTCGCCGCAGGTGGAAGAGATGAAACCCAGCAGCACCCCCAGGGTCGCAGTCAGCCAGTGCCTGAAACAGAAGCACCCCGAGATCACCCACAGCTCCTTTTCACCGTATCCACAGCCTTTCTGGAGGGGGGAGGTGGGCGTTGCTAATTTAGGAGGCTTTGATAGTATTTTCACATGTTGGAATTGTTTTGAGTACAGGCATTTGATATATGGTAGATCCTCTGTAAGGTGGGCCACCCGAGGATCTGTCATGAACTGGTCCCCACGTGGAGATGGTCGACATAAGGAACCAGGCCTGCCGTACTGACGTGTACATGGGGGGCACGGCTGGTCTGTGAACTAAGGCAAGAGAATTGCTTAAACCCAAGAGTTTAAGGTTGCTGTGACTCTACCAAGGGGGACATAGTGAGACTCTGTCTCAAAAAAAAATGAGGTGAGTCCCCAAGAAGGTGTGCAAGATGGGGTCCTCTGGAAACAAGACACCTGGCTCGTAGCAGCACTTAACGCCCACCTGGTTTGTGAAGAGTATAATAGATTTATTCCTGAGGCTGCCCCATAGCAACCGCAAGGTAGCAGAATGTCCACCTCTGTTAATCACAAGTCCCACGCCCTGTCCTCCACACGTGTGACCAATTACTAACTGAGCAAGGCGGCTCTGTTACCAGCACTTATCAAGAAAGCCGAGAACCAAGGGAAAAGCAGGGAACAGAATATTAACAGAGACACGTAACCCTCTCTTACCAAGGATGGTCCAGATGCAACATCTTCTCTCTCTGCTTCTTATTTCCTGCAAGAAATGAAGTTGTAACTGCAATTCGGAACCACTCCCCCAGCCCAAAACAGAGCCCAGGCCTCAGCAGAATTCCCAGCAGTTCATTTGAGCCGAGGCCCCACAGGACTAAATATAAACTTCTCCTCAAAACTGGGTGCACCAAAGTTACAACATGTCCAGCAATTTTTGTCCACTCACACTGTGAGGAGTTTAACTTACATTTAAGCAAACCCAGCATGAATGAAAAACTAAAGGGAAACTTGTCATGTCAAAACCGACTTAAAAATAAGAAAAGTTTACACATTTTTTGGTGAAAAATAGGTCCCTTTTCACAACCATTTGGAAGAAATGGGTATAAAACACTATTCTACGATAAAACTTTGATTACTTGGAATAAAAAAAATATGTCCGTAATCATCAGAGAAATGCAAATCAAAACCACCATGAGATAATATCTAACTCCAGTAAGAATGGCCCATGTCACAGAGTCTCAAAGCTCCAGATATGAGCGGCGCCTGTGGCTCAAAGGAGTAGGGCACCAGCCCAGGCCAAACAC